TTTGTATTTTTTGTACGGTAGATAACATTCATGAGATCTTTGCCGAACCTCCAGAACGTTGTTTATATTAACTCACTGATAACTTGATTGTGGTGTAGTTCTTGACTAAATACTTGCGCCACAGAGAGTTGCTCCACTCGCGTATCATAATTCAAGTTGTGTGTACTCGCGTAGCATCATTACACCCTCATTTATCCAGTGGCGTAAGGACTTCTACAGTGTATAACTGACTCTACTTGCGATTTTTCTTTGTAATATTGTGACGAAGCCTAGAATTTTGCGTAATATTTTCTTCTCGCCAATTTATTGCATTATCAGACAATAATAAATAATGATATTGATATTATGGACTGCTGTAATGAGACAGGCGAGCAATAACGTTGATCAAACGCTTGGCAGATGAAGCAGCAGCTGGAGACGGCAGTCGAGGATCACGTGTGGGTCGCTCAAATTTATCGTACGTCGGTGACGAGGCGTCGTCTTAAATTAATCAACCTGTTTTGGGGAGTATTCAAAATCTTTATCATATATTAAAATGGAATTTACAAAGATTTTACTGAGCCGAGTGGAGTGATGTCATGTTGGAGTCTTGATTACACGGCAGCAGTCGCGCGTCATCGCCTTCTTTGCCACCTCCCAGCCCTGCAGAGGCCCGTCATTTACTGCACTCTAAAACTTTTGCCGATGGGTGGCAAAGTTTTATGATGAGTTGTTGGTATTTAAGATGAGTTGTTGGTATTTTCTTACGGTAATGTTCAACGTTCTATTAGAGTATACAACTGTACATTTTTCTTAGCATTAGCTTGGCTGTGTTAAATGAAATTCTTTATCGACCTATAGGAGTAACTTTAAGATATGGTCTGAAAATAGGACCGCGTTCTCATTCGAATCGAATAGAACGAAAAATTTTGTAAAAATCCGAAGCCTTTTTCTCGTCGTGTAGTTTATACACAGTCGATTAAGAACCGTGTGTGATAGTGTACATACCTGCAGTTTGCTTTGATAATTATGTATAATAACTTAAGTGATTTCCATAGTCACGTTATCCTTTGGCCTTATCAATTCAGTTTAGATTAATCGGTGCAAAGTTTATCCTACGTACAGTAGGTTAGCAGAAAATAGTTTTCCATTTTTCATTTCGTATACAAATATTAACTGTATCTTCTCACTAATTAACCATTTTCATTTTTTTTCATCTGTCATTTTTTGAGAAAACTTTATACGCGCACGTTTTTTCATACATCTCGCAGTGAACATCCCAGTAAAGAAGGTTATTTGAAGATTGTCTGAACACGAAAGTATGAAAGCGACAAGACTAACATAGACCTACAACCTAAGACAGAATTTTACCAATGTCAAAGTAGTTTCATAATATAAACATAGCAATATTGCAGATTCTGAAATTGGTGACAAATAGTATCATGTGTTATGATATTTCAAAAGTAGTAGAATGGCACTTGACATTGCGAACACTGGTTGATAATGCGCACACCATCACTATCTGACCATCTGTTAATGCGTATACCCACACTTTATAGTGCATGAGGAAGCCAATACCAACGATGAGAACAACTGTCGCCATCATAGAGAACACAACGTAGAGGTCGCCTTTACTGAGACTCTGCCAGAGCGCCTCATGCCAGTGTGAGAGCCGCGTCAGGATGCGCCACAAAATACAGTTGGCGTGTTCGTCGAACAGCTCCTGGAGTTCTGTCTCGTACGGCAACGCAGCGTCGGTCGTTAAGAGACGTTCAATGGACGCAGTTAACACAGAGCTCGACGTATTGTAGCGCAAGTAAGCGTGTTCTGGTGACGAGTGTACATTGTCGCTGTCGTCATCAGGTTGCCAGCTTTTAGGCACCCATGTGAACTTGATACGACGACTGTCTGAACGCCACAGGATGGCTACGTGCTGGTGAACTTCAGAAGGCGAGGCCGACACTGAAATATTCAGCCGCCAGATATTAATTCTGTTAAACACAGCGAAAGTGTGCTGAATTTATCATGCTTAATTTAAGATTGTCACAAGGAAGAAATACAATGATGAAATTGCCGTGAACGAGATGGTAATCAAGTTGATAAGATCTGAAAACCCAATTTTCCGTGAATTAAAAACAAAGCAAATTCACCCACAACATGAAGTTTACAATGAAGCTTAATTAGGCCAATTATGAACACATGCACAACGATAACACACTTTCTCTGAACAGAAAGGCTGAAACAGGATGAGGCTGAAAGGCTGAAACATACAGGATGAGGCGGAAATAATGGTAATAATAAAATTTAGGTGGAATTCAATTGATAACATATATAATCATACAATCATGTTTAAAAATCGCGGAAGAGTTATGTCAAATAGTTCAAATATTTATAAAAAATAAATTAAATTAGATCTTTCACTGTCTCTCGCATCTATAAAGCTAATGAACCGCATTCAAAACCCTCACCACCAACGAGCGCGTTGACGAAATGCGCCTGTTTTTCCTGGAAGATGTAGGCGTAGTTGACGAGGTGTCGGTGCCGCATGTCGGCGCGCTGGCTGTGGTGGTCGGGGCGTCCGCGCGTGGCGTGCGACGGCTGACGCTCGAGCGCGTACTGGCGCAGCGCAGCGCGCGCCTCATCGTCCCGCGCCGAGTTCTCCGTGAACAACACCGCGCAGAAGTGGCGTCGAGTCCGCGAGACCGAGACCGGGCACAGCCCCTCGAATACAGACTGTCGGGGAAAGAGTGCGTAGTTAACTAGTTTGATTCATTAGGTTGTAGAAAATAGGGTTTTGGAAAGAGAGTTTGGAAGAGAGAATTCGGGGATTGATTTCAACGTGTGATTCATGAAGTGGATGAATATATGAGTCCGCCGTGTGATCCATCAGATGGTACATATTGGAGTTCTTTAAAAGAGTGAATTATCTCGCAAGTATAACTAGTATCAAATAAGGATTCAATTATCCGATCACCAATTGGGCTCAATGAAATTATCCATCACCGCAATACAGCTCAACTATTGCACAGCAGGACGAAATAATGAAGAAATTGTGCAACACTAGTAACCTATGAAAGTGTGCAACACTAATAACCTATGAAACTGTGCAACACTAATAACCTGTGAAGACAGTCGCGGCAGCATGAGGAACTGGTGCGTGGAGAAGACGTCCCGCATGGTGGCGTAGGGCAGGTCGGCCATGGCCACCGACGCGGCGGGGGTGGACGCGTCCTCCCGGAACACCAAGAGGGTGTCCACCTTGGTGGACACTGCGTACCGCGACACCACGGCCTCCGTTGACCGCAGACCTATTTGCACATACCTGTGAAGTTTATAAGTTTAGTACGAGTGTTGTTATTACAGTGTGCTATTACATGGTAGTGTGTACCTGAGATGTGTTAGTAGTGTGTAATGTGTTCAGTACGAGTGTTATTACATTATTATTAACACTTACATATTATTATTACAGTGTGGTGTTACATGGTGATGCACACCTGTGAACGGCATGTGTTTAGTACGAGTGTTGTTATTACAGTTACAAATATTCCAGGTTTATGTTTCAAGAGAGTCAAGAGTGACGAGAAATTATTGTAAGGACGATTGTAGTGTAGAAAGGCTAATATAAATATCTATAAGACAGACAGATTTGATGTATGAGATTAACAGAACACAACTGGCCGAAAATTTCAAGTAATACAGACTGGTAATGAATAATTCTCAAACTATATGTTCTCATTTCTCGAAAATACTCTAACCGCTGGCCCAGGGGTTGACCTAGCATAAGTCGATGCTAGTTTAATGTAATTGTTAATACTAATTAACATCACATTTTCAATTAAGTAATTTCAGAATCATCTACTGCATCAGATTGCTGCAAAAGGATTTTAAATCAAAAGTCGCCGAATTCATTGTAATATACTCATTAAAAACCGATTCCAAATCAGGTTATTATTAAACATGGTTGAACTATATACGGTTGACCCACGAGAAGTTCCGTCTTTCAGTTCAGCTTTCTTGTTACGTCACGTAGATCGAAAAACGTAAACAATCCCGTCATTCCCATGACGGATTGGTTGACTGGTTTGATCGCATTTCAGTGATTGGTTAATGCCCGTGACGTCCCTGAGATCAATGACGTCACAGGCGAACAATCAACTGCATCTGCAAAAATGAGCTTCTCATGGGTCAACCTATAATACTAGTTCAACATGATTATCAAACAACTGAAGAAATGAATTAGAATTAGAATGACAACAATCAGCCTCACAAATCAATTGTTTTTCGAGTAAAAGCGAAACAATTCAGCAAAATTAGTCGCATCTTCTTGCAGCTGATAATGAAGTAAAAAAAATCGATAAAATTCTTCAATCTTCTCAACATGACATATCTCTAGGTAGTTTCGTTAATAGATTATTGCTTTATCTTAGCCAAACCAAAACTCATAAAGTATTGAGATAGTATTATTATATTAAAAATAATACTACGTATCGTAACTCTTCATAACTTTCCATAGAGTATTGTTTAATTCAAAATAGAAGCAAGTAGTTTTCTTTAACCCAATCCCGGACGAAATAGAATACAGTAACTGAAGGAATACAAAGTGCTCTTTGCTCACAACAATGGCTTGCAGTCCAAAACTACCATTGCGAAATCCCCCCCCCCTTTCCAAAGCCTAAAAAATACGGACATTTTTGGGTTAAAATCAAAACCCAGAAAAGCGGCAGCATGTTTTTGGGGTAGCAGAGGTAAATGAGGTTCACTTTGCTTCGTAACGGATAACAAGCACCAAAATTTTCACTCACGACGATCATTAGTAACATGACACGAACACGAGAAAAAATAAAATGACTTTCATATACAGCATTGAAATAAATAAAAACTTTTTAAACCGAGAGGAATAAAGCTATTCATGTAAGCGGAAGATCTATTAATACTTTCATGGCGAATTTCAGAGCGACAAATACTTTTTAATCAATTCGATAAATACTTTAGGCAGTTCTATAAACCTTTTGAAGATTCCACAACGAAGGGATGTAGGACCTTACCTTTGACAACCAAAGTGCTTCCAGAGCTTAGCCCGTATCTCCATCACCTGCTTTTACTGCCTGGTCTTCAGTTGCGATGCAGATAGCAGACCAAGCACATGTAGTGCTAATGATTGCATTGCAGGATGTTCGCAAGTCGATCGAGGTCGAATACTTATTGAAGAGACAAGAGCATGCATGTAGTGTATCGCAGGGATGATTAGTTGCACAGCATCACATGTCTCCCGTCATTCTATTTCACCGATGATCTGAACTCGTGGAAATTAAAATCTCGCATGGTTGATTTATCGAGACCACATAATTCATAAACAGATGAGCGACTTGTGACGTGTCTCTGATGAATGGTTTTACCGGTTCACGATAACTAAAAAAAAGAGGATACGAATGATTTCTCATGGGGGCAGCAATGACACACGCTATATTCCTTTTTTAGCCACTTGTAACGTGTCCTCGAAGTTCGATCTGAACGAGACGCCACGACAATCTCTTCGTGGAATAATAATAATAATAATAATAATAATTCCTGCACGAGAAAACCATAGCAAAAATATCTGTCCCAACGATGGTCGAGCGTAAAACATTATTATGGAGCTCATTTATAGAAAATATCTGGATTAATATGTGACGCAACTATCAAGTAAACAATTTCTACTCTATTCTGTACACGAAGCTTAAATTACTGTACTTTCCACTAGTGATGTAACCTAGAGACGTCGGTCATCCTTACTAGGTGCACAATAAGGGATGAATATCTTCAATCTTATTTCGTTCCATAATGTGCGCATAGAATTATAGTTTTGCCTACAAGTGGCCAAATTGCATCCCATCCTCGTACAGTTATTAGACGCGAAAAAATTAGGTCACCCGATTGGCAGCGATGTTAATCTTGACCATTCCCATTTAACAAAGGAATTTACATCGTGGAGGTTGAGATGAGCAATGGAAGTTTAAGCGACTATGGTCCTGGCAATGAGTTCTTTCATGATCTCGTTTGCACCGCTGTAGATCGACTGGACTCTGGCATCCACGTACGCCTTGCTGATGGGATACTCGGTCATATATCCCCAGCCTCCGTGCATCTGCACGCAGTCGTACGCCACTTGGTTCTGCATATCCGAAGACTTGGCAAATGATAAATAATGATAGTGTGATCTCACATTATTTGGGAAGATATGTGTAATAATCTCGTTATTTGCGAGAAGTAACTAGAGAGTTCAAGGACATCTTACTTCAATTGATTTCGTACGTGTACAAATTTTTCAAACAATCATAAAGAATCAAATAACCTAAAAAAAGTTATGAAAGTTGTGACAGAGTTGATGACGAACAGAAAGAGACTGAGTTGATGACGGATAGTCAAATATTGAGAGAGAATCACGTGGTGACTGCACAGCAAGATGATGTTCGGAAAGCAGAATGAAGGCAGGCTCTTTAAAATACTTACTAGATACATCAAACCATCAAGGAACAAACGCTTGCACTGAAAAACAAGTTACACTGGAAGAAACATCTTCAGTCACATGCAAAACCTTAATAGTAGTACAATGGACACCGTGTTTGTTGTATCAGTGGTGAAGTTATCACGCAGCGGTCGCAAGATAAAAGTCGCCAACAAGGGAAGGTATGTCGGAATCAGTAATTTATTCAATCGGAAACGTTTAATCAACAACAGCTGATAGGAGGTCTTGAATAGCCAGGCCGCTGAAGCTAGCAGGAAAGATATAGTGCTAATGTCTAAAAATGACCGCTACAATGCTATACAAACAAAGCCCATCGTACAGGATGACGCATTTAAACAATGAAGGTGTTCACTAGCACACGAAGAATGAGCAGAAAAATACCAGGAATCCTGCCTACATAACCACTCAACCCAGCATTAAGACCTGAAACAAACACTAAGGTTATCATGTTTACTCGTTCACATTCCAACTATAAGACTATAAGATGCTCGTTTTAGGAGTTATTATGTGACTTGTTTAACCAATCCTGATAGGTGTTAGTGCGCAGCACCAGCAAGTTCTCGTTCACCCGTCTGAATGTGAGGTGAAACACGAAGAATAGTACAATTACAATAGCCGAGGCTGCACTTCAGCAATGGACGAAGAGAAAAAATTGTAACGGATCACAAATCAATGACGATCGTAGCGGTGATGTTTTATCAAAATCACCAAACATTGAAAATGCAATGCATGCTTCTGAAGATTCAAGAAAAGGGTCATTCATTATCGCACTGTCGCGAGACTCAGTCGAAAAAATTATAAAGTTCCTATCGCAATAAACTGCGGCAAATCACCATATTGTGAAAATTAGATTTTTCAGAAGCTACAGCAGAAGACTCAACCCAGGAAAAATTGGAAGCTCTCATTTCCAGAGCCTGGACGGAACGAATAGAAACCAAATTTTGACCTTTTCATCTCTTGAAACGGCAGAGATGAGGTGACTATTAAGTACGTATGGTGACTGCACAGCAAGATGATGTTCGGAAAGCAGAATGAAGGCAGGCTCTTTAAAATACTTACTAGATACATCAAACCATCAAGGAACAAACGCTTGCACTGAAAAACAAGTTACACTGGAAGAAACATCTTCAGTCACATGCAAAACCTTAATAGTAGTACAATGGACACCGTGTTTGTTGTCGTATCAGTGGTGAAGTTATCTCGCAGCGGGCGCAAGATAAAAGTCGTCAACAAGGCGAGGTATGTCGGAATCAGTAATTTATTCAATCGGAAACGTTTAATCAACAACAGCTGATAGGAGGTCTTGAATAGCCAGGCCGCTGAAGCTAGCAGGAAAGATATAGTGCTAATGTCTAAAAATGACCGCTACAATGCTATACAAACAAAGCCCATCGTACAGGATGACGCATTTAAACAATGAAGGTGTTCACTAGCACACGAAGAATGAGCAGAAAAATACCAGGAATCCTGCCTACATAACCACTCAACCCAGCATTAAGACCTGAAACAAACACTAAGGTTATCATGTTTACTCGTTCACATTCCAACTATAAGACTATAAGATGCTCGTTTTAGGAGTTATTATGTGACTTGTTTAACCAATCCTGATAGGTGTTAGTGCGCAGCACCAGCAAGTTCTCGTTCACCCGTCTGAATGTGAGGTGAAACACGAAGAATAGTACAATTACAATAGCCGAGGCTGCACTTCAGCAATGGACGAAGAGAAAAAATTGTAACGGATCACAAATCAATGACGATCGTAGCGGTGATGTTTTATCAAAATCACCAAACATTGAAAATGCAATGCATGCTTCTGAAGATTCAAGAAAAGGGTCATTCATTATCGCACTGTCGCGAGACTCAGTCGAAAAAATTATAAAGTTCCTATCGCAATAAACTGCGGCAAATCACCATATTGTGAAAATTAGATTTTTCAGAAGCTACAGCAGAAGACTCAACCCAGGAAAAATTGGAAGCTCTCATTTCCAGAGCCTGGACGGAACGAATAGAAACCAAATTTTGACCTTTTCATCTCTTGAAACGGCAGAGATGAGGTGACTATTAAGTACGTATTATGCCAAAGGATAGTTATCCCAACACTGCATTATACCATGAGAGGAAAGTCCTACTGGGGATCTGGGTATAAATTCCCTTAATACAGTTAATAGAATAGTGTCAAAAACTTCGATATGTTTATAATCTATTTTAATATGTTTATAATCAAAGTTACAAAATGTTACAGCTGATTATTATAGCCAGTTCTTAGAAGTGGATTACCAGAAAGATAACTTGACCTCAAACAATATTAGCAGTGGTAAAAAAGCTCAACCTGCAGTTCTGGGGCTAAATACGCTCTCATTATAGCCTATTCTATTGTGGCAGTAAAGCAATTACTTGTAAATTAGAAAGGGTTTTCCCAAAAGCCTTGCGCTGCTTCACATATTCGCGCGTTGTTTCAAACTGCCACTCGCAGTTGGCTGTTGACATCACACCAATGAGAAGACGTTCCTGCGCAGGTGAAATTGAGTTGTTAATTATAATGAGAACGTAAACATACTCGAAACACTTCCTGTTATATGGTCTTAATTGCGTTGAGCAAAAATAAATGATAGCTGAATGTAAATCAAAACATTACATGCTTATGATTTGATCCCTGGATTCAGATGAAAGAAGTGGTGCAGACGAAAGAAGTGGTGCAGATGAAAGAAGTAGTGCAGATGAAAGAAGTGGTGCAGATGAAAGAAGTGGTGCAGATGAAAGAAGTGGTGCAGATGAAAGAAGTGGTGCAGATGAAAGAAGTTGATGCGGGATTGATGAAAGAAAACAGTAATTATCCAAAAAGAGTAATTTGTAATAAGTGTTTATTGCTGTAACGAATGTTTTCAGCCGCAAAATATGTAATTTTCTAAAATATTCATCATTTTAAAAATAAAATGTCGAGAGCACAGGTCGACCAAACGAGAATTTGTTCTTAAGGCAATGCAATGCATTGCAGCAAGTGCTTCGCAAGTTGGGAGTCTAAGTTGAAGCCATGGGTTCTAGGTACCTGAGGCAGCTCTTGCATGAGTTCATAGAAGCCTTGGTTCTCTTTGCCCAGCAGCGCCGTCGCTGGCAGGCGCACGTCCTCAAAGAAGAGCTCGGCCGTGTCCTGAAATAAGGGATCTTCCTTGAATATAAAACATTGAATAAAACTATCCCTTCGAGACCCAAAATGGGGTTAGAAATGACCCCAGAATGTGAAATTTTGCAGTAATGTATATATAAATTACCTGCTAAAAATTTATTATACTGTGGTTTTCTTTCTGAAATGAAGTGTAAAACATTAGATGAAAATGTCTAGAGAATTACTATGATAGTTTTGTAGTTATGAAGTCGGGGTCATTTATGACCCCATTTCGGTAAGAGTTGTTGACCAGAAATTTCATGCTAAAATTTATTCTCCATTGTAATTAAGTATTTTTTGGCCATTTACAGATTTAAATACAGTAGCAATGTCTCGTAAATTTCATACTGATGATGAAATAGGATAAGTTATGAATAATTTATCGGATTTGGAGGTCGATAGTGAAGAAGAACTCATATGTGATGAAGATTCAGAATATGAAGACCACCTCTTGCCTAATGAAGAGGATTCTTCAGCTTCTAGTTCTGAATAAAACTCCGATGGAGACGATGATGATGATGACTACATACAATCAAGAGATGGGACAAACTGGAAGAAAAAAGCCCCTTCCACTAACCGAAGAACTTCGAGGCGAAATACTCTGCGCGTGGCACCATGGACTTACTGGCATCAGTAAAAACATAGATACACCAATAAGTGCATTCCAACTTCTGTTTGATGATAGTATCATGAATATGATAATTACTTGCTCAGAAAAGAAGGCGGAAGAATATAGAATCCAATGTAATCACTTGCACAAACTGTAATTTTCAACTATTTATAACCACTATGCAGTGTTTTCTGGAAGTTTGATTTCGATCTTATAAATAAAAGTTTTGACATGTAAACATTCCTAACAAAAGCTTCAAAATGGTCAAATTAGTATTTTTATCCATTATTATTGCCGAAAAAACTATAATTGCATGTTAAAAGGGACATAAAAGACTGGGGTCAAATATAACCCCATTTTGGTCATCTGTGTATCAAAAGATGTTTTGGATAGACGAAGGCTATTAGCCTTTAGCATATGTAAGAGTTTTCTATTAGACATAGGGTTCAAAATACACTCATAGGATGATTTGAAAGTGATCTAATATTGGTAAATTAGTTGGTTGGCCGACGTTGCCCTCGGCCAACATGATATGCCCGCTAGTGCAGGCAACTCGAATTTCCTCCCTCGAAAGTGTAAACAAAACGTCTCAGACAAAGCCGAAGATAACATCAGAAGTTTAGATCTTGTACATCACATCAGCCTCTTTTGAATCTGCCTCGACAGTTTCATCAAAATCGTGAAAGAAAACGAAGGCCAAGAAAAATAATATTGTCGACAATCGGGTGGGCATCTGTAAACAACTTCACAGTGTTCGCTAAGCAAATATTCGAGCATCTCTGATCTGTGATGGAGAATGGCATTTCTCTGCTTTGATATGAGCTTCCAAACTGGTGTTTGTCTCGACAGTAACAAAAATGAAAGGGTATTTTGTCAAAA